TAAAAAATCACCTTATATTAGTTTAAAAATTTCTTAGTTTCAGGATGTAAAATACTTTTAAAATAGACCATATGAATATGTATAGCATGTATTTGATATAAAAATATCTAAAAAGATTATTAACCTTTACACGTATCTAATAAGTTAAACTTTAAAAATATCCAGAATGGCACATATTTAGTAAACTAATTAATAGTTTCAACATAGGTTATTGATATCAGCCTTTGAATCTGGGCTCAAGGAGCTCCAATAGGTATTAATACAGTTCTGTAAATTTAATATAGTATCATCAGCATTACATATTTTGTCAATTTTATAATGTTCATGTACTAGCTTATCTATCCATTGATCCAAGTTAGAATTAATCTTAATATCATCCCTTGTAATGTCTATAGTTCGTTCGTGAAAATTTATGGAACTTAATAAATGTGACCACTTTGTGTTCATTTCTTCAGTAATATGATAATTATCACCAGATGCATTATTTACTTCCTTAGCTTTCGCTGCATCCATTTTTTTATTTTTCCAATATCCTAAAGGAGTTACCAAAAAATTCATTTTTGCTACTAACAGAGAATCAGCAACTAAGAGTAGATGCCAAGTACCCACAACTAGGTGTTCATTGAATTGTGGTTTAACATACCCTGTCTGAAAACAAGCAAAATATTAATTATTCAAAGGAATGTTAAATATAAAATGATTAATGGACAAAATTTTATATTTACTAATGTCATTTCTTCAAGCTGCACGTAATTAACATCTGCTAATTGACCGTAAGGGTCCACCCATAGAATTGATAGATTTTGTGGTGTTGTAATTCCAGTATCAAATTCGTATGATAAAACTGGATGCGAATATGGTCCTATACTTCCCATTAAATTTCTAAATGTTTTTTCTTTTTGGTCATAATCAGTATTAACAGATAAACTTTGTACCTTTCCCAACCATTCTCTACTAGTAGAAAAGTTGTGTCTTAAGTAGATCAAAGATTCTACTTGTTTCATGTATTCTTGTTGAATTGATTTCTGTTGTATTATAGCTTCAGCAAGAATTAATATCCCAACAAATTGATTTTGTTTGAAATAAGCAGTTGTTTCCAAAAGATGGACATCCTTGCTATCTATGTTCAATTTACGAAAAATTAATCTTGCTAAGGAATTTGAAACAGTCAATTGTGCATCATCAGTCAAAGGACTTAAATCTGCCGTATGGTATAAACTTTGCCAGTATGCATCGTAACCTTTTGCGCTAACGGTTTTATTTAATTTCTCAGGGTATAGCCACTCTTCTACCCTGTCTATAATTCTTTGGTCAATGACAGATTCAAACTTTCGAGCGAAAAATAAATTACGATCCACTGTATTTCGGATTCTGCTAAAATCTTCAAGTTTGAAGTCATTTGGGCTACAACCACACCAATCGACCACAGCTTTATATTGACATTTACAACCTAATTTTCTTTTCCAATTAGTAACATGTAAATTGTTATCTATGTATGTATTACAGAATCTTGAGTTACGTAAAACTGTATGAAAAAAAGATTCGGCAGGTAGTAAAGTGTATTTAAACACTTTTAAAAGATCAGTCACTAATGCATCTGGTATTGGATTAGCAACATATTCTACAAATTCTCTGCTTAAGGCTACCCAATCACTACCACCATCTATTTGAATACCTATAAAAAATAATTGTTTATAAAATAAATTAATAAAGTTGTGATTAGTGTTAAATACAAAGTAAGAAAATTTACCATCTGGTAATTTTCGATCACCTGTTCTCCACATACGAGTTTCGCATTCAACAAAAGTTTTATCTAAACCTTGTTTGGTAATAAAACGTTGAACTTCTCTTCCATGAGATTTTACAAAATTCATACCTTTATTCAAACTAAGAAATTGAGTTAATTGTGCATTATTTTTTATAGGAAAATCGGATTCTGATAAATTGACAAGGAAATCCCAATGGTGGTGATGTGTAAGCATTTGTTGTGCAGACTTCAAGAGAGTTGTTAGAAGACTTGCACCTCCCCAAATACTTGCATGTCTCAAATTTTCTCCTCTTGCTACTTTAATGTTATTTGATTTGCAAGATTTTTCCACTTCTAACATATCTCGATAAAGATAATCTTGTCGCTAGGAATAGAAATTAAATAAGTTAGAATAACATACTCTTTTAATGCATTAAAAAAAAAACTTATTTAATTACCGCATCAACATGAATATAAAATAAATGTGAAGGATGATAAAGAATACTAATAAGTCGTTTCACTTGACGACTAGCTCGGCCGTTTACTGTTAATAAGTAAGCTATACGAGCAGGCTTTTCATTTTCAATATCTATACTTGTATTTCGAGCTTCTTGTGCCTTGAACCCTATTATATAAAAAAAATAAAGTTCTTTAGAAATTCACATTATCAAAACCAATAACAAATATATATGCTATAAATATATTAATTTTTTAATTTCCTTACTCTGAATTCCAGTCCAAAATATATTAATTGTCAAATATCCACCACAAGAATATTTTGGATTACCAGAACACTTCATATTACAACTTGAATCTGGCAATCGCTTTAATTGAGAAGGTTTTTCCATCCCACAAAAACATTCAACACTGAAATTATATACTCATAAAATATATTTAAGTACCACCATATAGATTCAAGTTTTTAATTAGGTAACAGTAAAAAAGATAGTACTAATACAATTACATAAAAATAACAATTGATAGTTAGAGTAAATGTTTGAAATACTTACGAATATTCAGTACCAGCATATAAATATCCAGATTGAAGACACAGAAAAGCACAGCGCTCAGGAGAATTGTTCCCTTTAAAAACATGGTAATAGCCAGAAAGTATTCTTAATGTTTTATCATCTTTAAAGCATCCTAAACTGACTGGTTTATCTATAAATCCTGGAGAATGAGGGCACAGAGACTGTATTCTTTCTGGGTATAATAATCCCTGTTGGTTAAGGCACGTCACATTGACAATGCGTTGCTTGCATATTTGACTTTGTGCACGTGTTACAGCACTTACTGCTTCTCTGCCAGTAAATTCACAAAGTGGTGTAAAATTTAAAGATTTACGATCTAACTTTATTCTAGTAGTACGGTTTCTCTGAGAATGTAAAATCTTATTTGAGTTACTATGTTTGTCAGGTGGAAGCTTCAACTGACGTAAACCTGTTGGTAAACCTTCATCTTCTTCAGGTTGAGACGAGTCCTATATGGAAAAGTATAGTTTATGTATCATAATGTTACTAATATGATTAACAAATATCTGTGATACAAACAATAAAAATTGAAATCTAACTTACTTCTCCTGAAGATAGGCGGTTAGATTTGTGATTTCGAATTTCCAAACCGAAAAACGTATGAGCCAAATAAATTTGTACACATAGTACAGTAATACCAAATACAAACAGTATTCGATACTTTCGTAAACAACTAGAGGGTCGACTTATTGAATGATTTTTTGTTATAACCATTTTTATTGTTCTAGTTTATATCGGCTGTATCCTTTGAATTTCGTTTAATTTTGTAATTCTCATAACCCAATTTAACGGGTAATTTTTTATAAGACACGAGGAACATGTTGCACTCATATGTTCGATATTATATTTAATATTACATACACTGTATTACATATTTAATACATACATTTAAGCATCACACGCGCGCGCGCGCGCGCACATACCACGCATACAAAAGCATATGAACAATTCATCAGTAATAATTAACCGAAAGATAATAACAATGTGAAAAATATCAGTATAGTACTTTAATATAAATATTTATTTGATTGCTAACACGCGTTTATGCTGGTTTCGCTTTAATCTTTTAATTAAATGAAAAAGTACAGACATGAAAGTTTACGAAAAAAATTGTATGGGAAAATGTTATTTGAATTAATATTATTTATTGCTACAAATTAACAAACATATATACATAAAAATCTATATTACATTACAAGATAACCATGCACAATTCACATTTAATCATTACAGTATTGCCACCATAGCCAATATTCTATTTCCTATAGAAAACTTTTAGTTGAAATACGTGCTCTGTGTGTCAATTGCTGTCGATTCTTTAATTAAATCTAGGGACGGCAAACGTTTGTATAACCGACAACCGACAAGGAGATGATTCCCTATAAAAAGAATAAGATAATATTAAAAACTTTTCTTTACCAAGTTTACTACGAATTGCCACGACAAAATTAAGTATTGATCTTGAATCTTCTAAAATAAGAAATAAAAAATTAATTTTTCATATATAATGCTAAATTTTAAGTTTAATCTGAATAAGTATAACAACTGTAAGACATGAAATAGATTGCAGTTACAGTTACGTGTATTCATGCAATTTAAATTTGCTTTCAATTGCATGATTATGCGAGGATCTAAATTTAATCAAATACGCTTCCACTGCAATCGGCCGCTCATTAAAAATATAAATGTTCTGCGCGTAATGTTGTTGGCATGTTGAAAGGAAAGAAACGACGAAAGGTTTCCACCCGTCGTGGAGTTTGAACATGCTTATTATACTCTCTTGCTGTTTTCTCGCGCGCTTTTCATAACTGAACAGTTATTCTGGTTCTTCGCGTATTCAATTAAGCATTTATTTAATTTGCTCGCACGTTTATATGATCGCCGCGGTAATTTTCAAATACTTGCGCACCCATACTTACATCACAGACGAAGAAGTACAGAAGAATAGATGTATCACCTTACAGGACTTTGTGTCACGTATTCTGAAATACCGACGTAGGAAAAGATCATTGGTTTTCTTGCACCTTCTGCGATTCAAAGTGGTTTTAAGAATTATATTCAGCAAGTCGAGAAGTCGAGCATTTCTAAAAGAGACCCGCTTTGTAAAATTCCTAACAGAAAATTTCTTGTATCGTGTGACTTGTATTGATGACTATATACGAAAGCAGTACAGCATGAACAGCGGCAAATTATTTACTAACCAAATTTTCGTTCTTAAGTGCTTGATTTTATATGAATAAAAATGGTACCGATAAATTAATATAAATCTCTTGATACAAATAAGTTCAGATACGATATGATTTAAACTATTTTCTGTTATACGTAATGCGTTGCTATAATATCGTTATTATATATAGTTTATAAATTTTATTGTATTTAAATAGTATACTCAAAATGACATTATGTGTAGATTTATTTTCACCTACAAGGACAAGGTTTGACATAAGTAAGTATCCTGGTTTTTGACGATAGAAGGGAAATAGAAGAACTCATTTTAAAATAATTTAATA